CCCTCCGAAAGCCTTCTTCAAACGCTCCTTAATCACTGGCCATGGTGTCTCCTCGTCCGCTTGGATTTGGTTGAGGATGTTCCTCCTCACTCGGCACACGAGAGCTGCCTTCAGTGCTTCTGCGTCTCCCAGGTTCACGAGGTCCTCCGCCACCTTTGCTTCGATTCTTGATATGAGGCGGTCTCCACCTTTCAGGAAGTGATTAAGTTCACCTATCTCGCCCCCGAATCGCTCCAGGTCTGCGATTGCTCTCCGTAGATCCTGCGTGGTCGCTGCCCTTATCTTCATCCACTCCAATGCATTGGCGTGCGCCTCTGCCAATGTGTCCCTAGGTAAGGGAGGGATCTCTTGTATCTGCGGTACTTGAGGTATCTGAGGTATCTGCGGAATCTGCGGAACCTGAGGGGCGATCTGAGGAATCTGCGCTATCGGCATTTCCTGAGGTTGCGGCATTTCAGGTGCGTTCAACACTCCTGGTCGAATTATGCCCTCTGTCGGCATCTCGTCTTTTCCTTATGACTAGGAGAAGAGAAAAAAAAAATAAAATAAAGAAAGGAAAAAAAAATTTTACTTCCGTGTTCTCCTGACGTTCTCCCGGGTTTCGGCACCAGTTAAGCGTCTCCGGGCTTTGTAAATAAAAAAAAAGAAGGAAAGAGGAACGAGAAACAATACTCACGGCTTCTGAATTAACACTACTTTATTCGTTCAATAATCTGCCTTATATACAATTGCTATGTTTATTTACATTACAAGATGGTATTAAGGCTGATATCGCCAGTCTCCGGTCTTTATCTTATATATATATATATATATAATATATATATATATATATATATAATGGTTCTATATTAGCGTGACGTTTCAGGTTCTTTTTTACAAATATTTTTTTGTAGAATAATAGAATAAAAACATATTAAATGGATTGTACAAACATTTAGGAGGTAGGATTGTATGAGACAATTTTTGCAAGTAATGGGAACAATGATGTGTGCAACGTTCTATACTAATATGGAAAGATAATTATTAAATAATATGGTACGTACAATATTGTATTATTAAAATACTTAAGGTATCAATAAATATTAATTACATATGTTCATTGATAACAGTCTTTGAAAATGGGCAAAGAGGAGTCCGAAACATCAAACTAATAAAGAATGATAAAAAATAAATAAATAAAGTAATATAGTCCGTGGTACAGAACTCTTATTATTAAATTATTAACATCCACCTGATACATAGATAGCTTCATCTCATCTTAACAACTATTTTATTTACAAATATTCTCGGAATTGGAGCGTTTTCAATCTAGAGATCTGCAAACTTTGTCTATTTAATTAGGTACTAAAAACTTGTAAATACCTATTTGCTTTATACTTGATTCGTAACATAATATGATCACAAAATCGAAAAAAAAAATAGGTGGCCTACAAAAACTTTTGGACCATTCGGCCGATATAATCTCGTTATTTTGCGGGTGGATGGTAGGCCAGTTTTTATTCTTTCTTTCTTTTTTTTCTTTTTTTTAAAGTTTGTGGTCATATTTAATCGTAAGATAATTTCAGCACAAAATTGAGAACAAAATTGGCCCTATAAAATATTGGGCCGTTTGGCGTGACTTCCAACCACAAAATTTCAGAATAACGAGGTTTTATAGGCTAAACGGCCCAATATTTTTATAGGCCACATTCTCGATTTTATGCTCAAATTATCTTACGATCCGAGTGGAAAACAAATGGATATTTACGAGTTTTTAGTACCTTATTAAAATGACAAATTTTGCCATCTCCAGATTGAAAACTCCCCCATTCCGAGAATTTTCGTTAATAAAATAGTTGTAGGTTACGATCAGATAAAGCTATTCACGAAGTTTCAGGCGAATGTTAATTTTGATGAAAAGGGGTCTGTACCACTGGCTGGTATGAAGATCTGATTAATTGTTCTGATTATAAATTTTTAATATCGTCATTTTATATTTTGATACTCATCGTCCCAAAATAGAAACAGAAAAGAATCCCACAAGATGCAAAAAATAGTTCAATAATTTTAATAATTGAATCATCTCAAACGCTGATGGTGATTTGGATTCCATGCAAAGTAGCAGGATTGTTGTTTTTATAATAATTGTAGTCTAATAAAGCCTTACAAAGCGAGAATTTTTATTATATTTATTTATTTTAATTTGTTACGTTTCTCTAAAGGCATGTTCTGGATCCACCGTTATATGGAATCTCATTCAAACATATTATCTAGCATTGCATACGATGCGATAATAATGGTATATTATCATAACAATAAATCATTTATTTATTTATTTTTCCGTTTCCTCTAACCTGCAGGGTCATTGGCAACACCTGTTATTTACACTATGTTGTAGAAATTTATCCTTTTTAAAGATTGAAATGTTTTTTAAACAGATATTTCACTGCCATTCAAGATTTCTTTTAGATTTTGTGGCATGTCCAACTTTTTCCTAACAGTTACAAATATAGGACAGTCTTGTGTGATATGTTTCACAGTCCTTTAGACATAACAGCTCTCGCATGTCGGAGGATCGAATCTTAGTAGACAGGCATGCGAGAACTCATAAAAGAATATTTAAAAAAATATATATATTTTTTTTAAACTTTATTTCTCTACCCATAACTGTCAGAAATAATGATAATTGATGAGCTTGTAGAATGTGGACAATGGCAGGTGTGAGGAAGAGGAATAAAATAATTTTATTAAACAACATCAATTCTGGCTATGTAAATGATGATTATTCCACCAAAAATTACTAATTAAATTGTTTTAATCTCGTCGGCATATTGCAAAAAGTTACCCAGCACATGGTGGATGTTTTTGTGAATTTCCATCTTGGTTTTGTTCTTTATTTCTATTTATTGTACACATGGTGTGAATGAAATCCAGTAAAATTATTAATAATGTCTTTACTTGTGAACAAATGTAACAAAGTCACTAAAGGAAAAAAAAAAAACATTTCTGGATGGAGAAACAATGTAAGTACATAAAATTGACACGTACCCTCTTACTTATTAAAAATAATCACATTAAATAAACAACGTTCTGATTTCACAGAAGGAATCAATAACAAAGTACTTAGTGATTTATTTTAATGAAATGTTACTTAATGACTTATTGCAATAAACCCACGATATATCTGATGAAAAATATTCATATTTAATAATATTTTATAAAAACAAATTCATTACTTCACGTTACCAGTTCATTGATGAAACAGTTTATTTTCTAGTTTTTTATTTGTTTAATTTTTCTGTACGCAATTAAACTAAGCTTTGTCATGGAACTCGTACAATACCCATTGCAATTTCAATAACAAATTTCTAATTCAGTAGATAGCATTATTATTACTACGATTTTTCTCCTGTAAATAAATATCTAAATTGCTTACGTTAAAGCTATTTGAAAATACTCATAAGGGCATTTGCTAATCGAGCTGAAAAATATTCATATTTAAAAAAAAAAAGTCTTCAGTTTAAGTTATTAGTTCATTAATGAAACAACTTATGTTCTAGTATTTCTATTAGTTTATGTTTTTCTTTTATTTTATAAATTAAATAATTTTTTGTGGTCTTTATTACTTATATTTCCTTCATTAGACGCCATAATTATTCAGACGCAATGAGGAGGGTAATAAAAAAAACAACAATTTAAATAATAAAGATATAAAGATGTTTATTTTACAAAAATATTGTATAGAGATGTATACACAAGATAAATATGTACATGACTAGAGCAAACAATGTACAACGAAACCTTGGGACCAACTACATTTATGTACAGGTGCATATAATTGAGCCTCTTGTACGCAACTAAGCTAAGCTTTGTCATGGAACGCGTACAATACTCATTGCAATTTAAATCACAAATTTCTAATTCAGTAGATAGCATTAGTATTGCTACGATTTTTTTTCCTAAAACTAGAGAATAAATATCTAAATTGCTTACATTAAAGCTATTTGAAAATACTCATAAGGGCATAAGAAGACGCTATTTCAAATTTAGATGCCCCTAAAAAAACTGCATGCTATTAAAATATCCCAGTATAATAAGAAATACTGATTTGTAGCTAACAATAATTAACAGTAATGTCCATTATCCATACATAAATAACAATGTTTATAATCAATAATTATGTCCGACAATCTATTATTAAACTACACATGTGATTACGTTGTACTTGACATAACGTATTATAATTTCTATTATAAAAAAAAATATAAGATTTTTTTTTTAAATTAAAGAGCAATTGTTCTTTGTTCGAAATAAAATTTCCATTGATTTAAAAAAATACTTAGTATGTCCTGGTGGACTAATGTACATTTCATTTCTACCTATTTCCTAAATCTGTTCTTTTTTTTTTCTTTTTTTATTTTATTTGTACATATAACAACTAAACTAATTATATAAATAACAATAATTTAAAATTCAACTATAATAAAAAATACAATTTAATATCTACATAATCATTAAATATTAATATGAATGAGACCACATTTGGACGGAAAGAAGTTTTCATGAGAAGCTAAGTGTACGAGTACAATAATATAATTATATTTTATATATATAATACGTTATATTAATTTGCTATACAATTAAATTCAAGTCTTATGTCTATATACGTCTCACAGCATTCTCTTGGACGGAGAGATCTGACTGAAAAAAAAATCAAAATTCTCTGACAAAATACTTAAAAGTTAAAGCTTTCTTATATATAGTTATCTTCCCACATCTAAATATGGTCGGATACTAGAGTAATGGAATAAATATCACAATTTCGGATAAAATTAATTTTTTTTTTATAACAATTTATATACATCTAAACCATAATAGCCCAGATCACAAAAGCTGAGTCTTTCATCTTAATCTTGTGTTATAATCTATTATTTATAATTTAGCAAGAAGAATCTATATTCTTATATATATATATTAATGTCAATTGGGATGTTTAGTGAGATCTGGGAGGCAGTTGCTCCTCATATTCTACTCATGATCTTCTTCAGTGACCGAAGGTGCAGACTCTTCGCTGAGCATTCCGCAGGTACCCCCGCAGTTCTTGGAGCATCTGGAACATTCTTCCTGATTTTCACCTGTAAAAAAAAAAAAAAATTTATTATTTCGAAAAGGCACATAGCATTTTCAATCTTATGCTATAACCCCTTAAAATTATTGGACATGCTAACGGTTCTAAACTTTAAAACGGCTTTAAGATGTTGATATAAGAGAGCTGGACCTCTTTCCTTTACGATGGCTTTAAACTGCTTCATTACTACCCTACGGCCGGGTCCCGTCTTAATTGAAGCTGGGTCCCCAGCGAGGCAAAAAACCGACTTCATGGGACCCCTATTTGAAGCGACCTAACGACAGCATTGGCAAAGGCCAGGAAAAACTGTTCCCCATCATTTTGCCTCGAGACCGATTAGCGATTCCTTCTTCTTCGATGGATCTAAAATTTTGAAAACCTGAGGAAATTATTCAAATTGTTTGTATAAGAAGTTTAATTGTACAAATTGAAATGTAAAGTAAAATTTATAAAATAAATAAATAGATTTACAGTATTAAAATATGTGTTGTTCCAATGTTCTAAGTAAGGATATTTAAGAAGATTAATATTTCATTTATACATGTAACTATTTAAATTATTTCGGACAATAAACGAAACATGAGTACTTCTTAGATAGAATTAAATATCGAAAGTTTATTGCTTATATGTACAGTAACATAATTTACACACGTAATATAGAAATATTTAAAACATGTTGAACGAGATTTTTTTTTTAATCACAAGTGATCATTAAGTGATTTTAATCACATTCATTTAATTTGAAATATTGAGAAAATACTTTTTAAAAATTGATTTAGTATTTAAAATTAAAGAATTTTCAAACTTTATTCTTTAATTTATATGTTTAATTATTTAAAATTTAATACAGTTTTTTTATTATTCACTTCTTAACAATTTATAAATATTTTTTATTTTTCGATCAAAAAAATAAGTAGTAGCATCATTAGCAAACATTCATAACGATTTTCTGTAGCTATAAACTTCAATCGCGGTGTATAAATAAAAAAAAAGGCTTAATTAACGCAACTTTGTTACTTTTCTTTACGGTAAAACCTGTTATCTATCATAAATCTAATAATTGATTTTTAATTATATATAAAATAAGATGAGTCTGATTTTTATCTGGAAGTAAAAACAATATACCCTACAATATAAGAAATAAATAGAAAGTTGATAGATTCAATAAAGACTGTGGTCATATGTGGTAGTATTTGTCTTATTTCTGTTATATGGGCATTACGATACGAGTTCCTTTGCGACCATGAAGTAAATAAATTTAAAAATGTCAACTTATAAATTTTATCATCCTTTGTTTTAATAAATTCAAAAATCCGACTTCCCAACATTGGTTGACGACGTGTATGATCTTCAATAGATGAGTTTATTACGGAGCTTGCTACTTTTTCTGTTTTCTTATAAATAAATGACGGAAAGGATCCTCCTTAAACCACTTTCTCTCAACAGAGACGGCAGAAAATTGTATAAAATGGTTTCCGAGTTACAAGTCCCGTGGGAACCTTACTTTCTACATTTACGCGTAGCGGTCACGTAGGACGAATTTCATACATTTCGAAAGAAAATGATCGATTCTTCCCGTAATGCTTCCCCGGCGATGCGCACAGGTAGATTCGAGTTGCAGTTTAAAGGCCGCTCTGAATAAATATATTTAAAGTAAAATGGATTATTACGATGGCGGCCGGCTGGAGGAGCCTGGCTGGACCAAATTACAGTGCGGAAATTCCTCAAGGTGGCGTCGCACTAATAGGATTACGATAGGGACCGAAAAAAAGGCGACTACCTGTTCCGCCGCTGAGGAGGACCAAAATGACATTTAATTTAGCCTATGACCCTTCATTTGGCACCCTCCTGATCACAGGGATTACGCCCTCCTTGGTATGCCAGGATTCCTTGATGTCTTGGGTTCTCGAGAGACCGACTTCCATTGCATTTTAATGCTCGTCTCGTCCCTTTCCAAAGTGGGCAGTATCATTTTGTAAAACCACCTTCCATTAGTACAATAATGGACCACATCAAAGGCCTCGTTGAATCTAAGTCGCACCTGATTTTAAAAGGTAGGTATAATATTTTAAATCCTAATCAGCTTCTAAATGTTTTCTAATTACTAAGACTATGTTTCCTAAAAAGTAAGACAAAGAAATAATAATGACAAAGGTTTAATTATTTTGACAATCGGAAACTTAGCTTTTGATTCAATTTATTTCAGATATCAATTAGCTAAATTTGTTTTATTATTTTATATATGTGTATATTACGGAGCAAAGTAGCTCAGTGAGTTAGACACTGGACTGCTAAGCTCAAGGTCCCGAGTTCGAATTCGGCTGATGTCGAGTAATTTTTCATCAGCCATGGATGAAACCTGGGGTCGAGAGTTCTCCTGGAGCACAACACCCACATTCTCTTTAAAGTGGGTGTTCTTAATTTATAATTAATTAAAGAATGAGTGTGATCCTGGTCCGATCACCTCCCTGCACGACCATTGGCCTTTAATACAGTAGGTATTCTTAACAAAGTTTTTTTTATATACGTATATTATATTTATTGAGTTTGACAATAAATAAATGTAAATAGGTATAATGACATGGATTGTCTTAAAGAGAAACTACCTAATAATAGTTCTGTATTAGAATGTCCCGAGATCATCTTTTTAGAGGCCAATGAGAAATCAAAGATAATGCAAGGTTATGTGGTTTTGGATAGACCTAAAGTTTATTATGGAAGGACATGTATTTGAATTCGGCTAAACCGGCAATAAATGGAGCATTAAAGTCATTATGGATAATCCTATTTGTGACTTGTTAGTTGTTAGCATTGAGAGTTTTGGTTTGTAAAGATTGTAGGCGAGAGGAATTCGATGGTTTAGCGAAGTCTTAAAGCTGAACTCCGAAAGTCTAAATTAACATTATGGCTAAGTAAATAAGTTTTGTGATTTGATTAGAAGCTTAGAGCGTTTGAGTAGGTTTCTTGCCATTTCAGCTATATATAAGGATTTCAATTAAAACTTTTGTCCAGATCGATTCCTAGGTGGAGCGATATCTGTTCAACATGAATAGCTGACATTTTATTTTTACAGCCAATTTTTATAAATCAATGGGTTCTAAATTTGATAGTTTAGGAAGTAGTCCCAAAGGTTTTAGTTAATTTATTTGAAATTTTTTTTTAAATTTGAGGCAACAATTATATGATTATTTATGATTTCGGTTCTATACTTTACAGAAAAAATTATAAAAGGTAATTCCATCAAATTTGAAGTAACTAGATGATTATTATTTTTTTTTTGTAGTATGAACAATCTAAAATGAATTTTATAATTATTTAAATTTCGCTTACCTTCATGAGTTTTCATGTGAGCACGAAGGTTGCAAGCTAAGGCGAATTTCTTGTGACAGAGTTCGCATGCGTGTGGCTTGTCACCTAAAAGAAATGAATTTTTATGAAATTTGTTATCCTCATGAAAATATTAAAAATAAATAATTATGCCAAATTGAAATTTTTTTTAGTTAAAAAAAAATAGTAAAAATGCTTGCCGATTTGGTATCTATCAGAATTCATTTATAATTTATATTTTCTAATGCACAACATATTTAAGGATAATATATATAAATTCGATGACTGGATTGTATTGTATACGAATTAGTATCATAATTACGTTTATAAATCTATAGTTCCAAAATCAAAAATTTTTATTGTGAGGTTTAAAAATAAACAACCCTAGGTTAATAATAAATATTTGAGAACCAATTTAACCAATTATATATTAATATTCTAACAATTATATAATATACATATATATATAATAGATTTCTATGACTCTATTGATCTAACACGATTTTTACAAGTGAATGTTGTTTAAGCAAAAATAATAGTTGGTTAATCGTAACAGATATTTTCGATATGTTATTGTTTTGTTTATATATTTCAATATGTAGAAGTAAACGAAAAGAATAAAAAAAAAAAAAAGAGGAAGACTCTAGAATGGAAGCTGCCCTTAGAACTGGCTGTCAATCAGGATGGTAATGGGCTGTATGCCACGGAGATAGCATTGTACGGTAAGTAGTATATCTCCGAGATAGGATCTGGCTCTGTGTTCACACCGGGTCGGCGTGTCATTAGGCAACGTCATCCTCCGCTCGCTACCTATCTACAAATCACCCCTAACCTCTGTCCAGGCCGGCTCTTCTCCGGGTGGCTTCCAGTAACTGGAGTGGTCCAGGTTATTAAGTACCCCATCCAGTTGGCTACTCATAAGCGGACAAAATGGGGTCAGTCGGAATGACATTTAAATTCTGAAAGATCGTGTAAGGTTAAGATTGATGCACGGATGAATGATACTGACGAATATTAAGAAATCCAAGCTTGAATGACGAAGAGTGGAATAGAAACTAACCAAACTACTAGGTAAATTAATTTACTAATGTCTCACATCATATTTATATTCCTAATTTTCATTTAAAATACACAGTTATCCCTAATTTTAATATTTTAAAATAAACTTATATCTAGTTCATGTGTTTATGAACCATCAACTATTTTTATTTTTTAATTAATGGGCAATAAAATTTTAAAAAAGGAAAAACTCTGAAAAAAGACTAATTTCTTTTTTTTTAATTACAACGTATTTATTATTTAAGCAATTTTGTCTTTCATTTATTTTAACTGGCACTTGATCTCACATTTTAATATCGGATAGTAATAGTCCATGGTACAGACTCCTTTTTATCGAATTATCAACATCCGACTGAAACTTCGTAAATAGCTTCAGCTCATCGTAACCTACAAATATTTTATTCACGAAAATTCTCGAAATTGCCTGAATTCAACGTAAATTAATTTAAAGTTTTAAGAATATTATTTATTCGAAAAATCACTTTTTCTTAGTTATTAGATACACTAAAAGGTGAAATGATGTTGTTTTGTAAAAAAATATCAATTGTTATTTTATTTTATATTTTCTAATATTCCATTTTATATTTTATTTTAACATAAAATAATTGAATAATTGTATATAATTATTAGTACCTATTTAGTTATTGAATGATTTTTTTTTTATTAATGGTTAATCGATTGGGAATTATCTCAGTGAAGTAATATCGCGTTCTATAAAATAATTAATAAACGTAAATTCTGTTCTAACTCTACCTGCAAGAAAATATTGTAATACTGATCTTAAATAGATGAAAAACTGAAATATTTGACTTAAAAAAACTTTTATAATATATCTTTTTAATTTCAAACAATAATAGTTATCAATAATAAAAGCTGTATAAAAGAGTACTGCAATTATATCATTAAAAGTAATTAAAAACAGTCTTGATTAACATTTAATAATGAATGGGCTGAATTGAAAAATATGAGGCTTATTCAGATTTGAAGGATTTCTTCAAATCATTTGGCATTTAACTTAAGATTTTATGCCTGCATTATATCTCTAATTTTTTAAGGTAGGACAAATTTCACGAATATTTGCCTTATTTTTTTATATTTCAATGTTATCTGTGGACTTTTGGTATCTTGGATAAATAACGCACACAGTGTTCACAAAAAAAAAAAAAAAAATGTTCGCTGTCTTTATTCTTTCCGGTAGGAACGGAAAGTGTTGGCAATTAGCGAATGTCTTAGGCTGGATAATTTTTGTACATAGGCACCCTAAGAATGAGGAAGAAGGAATTGAGGAATGTAAATTTACAGATAAATAAATTAATAAAATATTTTAGTATTTATTTTTACCATGTTGCATGTCTTATTCCAAAAAAAGATAAAGACTGCTTAACTGTTTTTGAATTTAATATAGTGGCAGATTTAAGCAGAGGAAAATCAGGCACATTCCTGGAGTCGACAATTTTTGTAGAACGGAAAAATACAAATGAAATTGTATTTTTAAATTACAACAAATTTGAAAGTTGAGGGATTGCACAGAAAAATCATAAAGCTAAATGAACGGTCTCCAATTCGCTCTTCATCATTAGATCATTCTTTATCAGAAGGAGTAAATATTGTATTGTTATGTTCAGGTAAAGAAGAACATTGATTAAGAAGAGAGGTGTTGAACGCTCACCGAGATGCGGTGAGGAAACGCTGGAAAGAAGAAACAGCGGGGGCAGAAATTCTAGAAAAGAGACAACTTAATTAAGATAAGCCAAACCTTTTACTTGTGAGATCCTACTGAATGCACTCACTAATAGAACTCTGTTTTAGTGGATTTGACTTTCAAAAACCACCAGTCCTTTTTTGCTTTCGAAATCCACCATCACTTAGCGCTATAACCGCTTACAAATTAGAAGACCTCTTTTGGAAACTAGGGACATACAGGCCTGGAGGAGATAGCATCTTGCTCGGTCTCCGATATGGATCCTAACTGGACATCTTGGACTATTCATAAGTTATCAGTTTTTTTCCTCAAGAGCCCCAAGTACCTGCTCATTATCTCCGATATAGTAAACGCTATAGTTTATATAACGAAGAGTGATTTAAAAACAAAAAAAAAAGTAGTATAAAGGTTATATAAACGTTTACAGCATACTGATTATTCAGTATGATTCGATATATTAAAACAAACATATCATGAGCATCTACAAATATTTTGAAATATAATGTTGAATAATAAAGAAACATTACTCAGCTCTGTAATTAAACCAACAACAAAGTATAAAAAAGGATATTTCATAAGTACAAAACAATACAATTAATTAAATAATTTCCAATTAGATCATTTTCCCTCTCTTATTCCTTCATGTTTATTATTATTCATCTTTATACATCTTCTTTCTAAATTTTTCTATCAGAATCATATTTTCATAATTATGAGATATAACATACATATAATTTATTTTTCAGTTTTTTAAATCAAATATTCCTTCTCCTATTCTTCCTTAAGTTTCATATTTGGCAATGATGCTGATCTTTAAGATATCCAAAGCAAATTGGTTATTTTTATTTAAATTGATTTCAGAACAATTCATTTTCACGAAACTGATTTAAATATGTATATTATATATATTTTTTTATTTATATCAATAGTACCAAAAACTAACTATTTAAAGTACGATACCTTTTTTTTACTAAACATTAATGGTAGAGTAACATAAAATATGGACACAATTTTTCAATTGTTCAGCGACGAACTTTAACTAGTTTTATCACCTTAGAATATACTAAGCTAGTATGATCGTGAGTAGTACCAAAATATTATTTTCTAGTAATATTCACCATTAGTACCGAAAATATATGTTGCATATTTAAATGTGGTATAAAATAAAGGTATTTTTGTATATTAGCGTGTCCCCACAAGGGATGCCAAATATATATGAATTTAGTTATGGCATTAAACCTGAGTTCATTTACGGTTCAAATAAATTAAAATATGATATCAATATCGTCCCATATCATATACAACTACTCTTTTAGTGAAGAATGGTCTTTATGGTTGAATATGTTTTTAAATTTAATTCTTCGTTACTGCAGCAACTATTCCACCCTTAGCTGAAGGAGATTAGGAAGTCACTTCTTTTTGTAGAAGATATTTGAATAGAAATCAAAGGAGTACATAATAGCATTTCGCAAGATACCACAAGGGTGATCCGAGCCGTTCTCAGGCTGTCACCGAAAGAGAAAGTCCCGTGTCCGGCCAAATATAGTGAGCAGCGAACACTGCTACACATTTACATAGCAATTACAAGAGTCCAGTCGGTAATGAGCAGGACAATAGAGAGCCGCCCTCCGAGCATGCGCTTTGGAAAAATGTATCTCGGCTTATCTGATCCTTGTCATGTTCTCATGATAACTATTTACATATTAATTATAATTGATTGCTGAGGCTCTAATAATTAAAGATCCTTTAATTATAATCAATAGCTTGAGTAACCAATTCATTCCTTTATCTCAAAGAACAAATTTCTTTTAACCATGCATAAATCATTTTCTTAATATTTTAGGTGGAGAATAAGAAGCAACATAGAGTTAATGATGTTAATATGATGAGCCAGACATCCTTTGTGTTATTAAGAAGGGCATACTCAGATGGCTGGCTCATGTTGAAAGAATGGATCTCACTAGACTTCCAAAAATGATGCTGAATGGTACTCCAGGAGGAAAAAGAGAAAAAAGTAAAGCCAGACACTGGTGGTTGGATGATCTGGAGGAAGAAGAAGGAGGCTGGGAATCATAAATTAGAGGAATCTCGCTGTGGAGTGGAGGAGAGTGGTGGCAGATGCCCAGGTCCTACAAGGACTGTAGCGGCCATTGAAGAAGAATATTTTAGGATGGCAGTAAAGACCTGTGGCTCGCAAGCTCTTTGTTCAAAAAAATTAAATTATTAAATTTTTGTAACATACCGGCGATATTATAGTTTCATCCACAATGTAAGTTTCAAAGAGATCATCGAGAAATTAGTAGAAAAAGTAACTTAAATGGAATATCTATAAATAGTAGTTAAAGTTTAAATGTATGTTTAAGTGAATTCCTCAACATCTCATAATTTGGAGATAATAATATATGACAAGAAATTAATAAGTAATAAATAGTCAGGAGGCAGTCATATTAAAGGTTTTTATTGCCGCTGTTGTTTCAACCCATGTGTTTAATCATCAGGGAGTGTTTCGAGCACTGAGGGTGTTCAAGTTGAGTACTTGACACCATCCTGACTATTTATCACATATGATATGTAGAACAGTCAAATAACATCCTCCAATGATAAGAAATTAAGAATTAGTTAAGAGAGCTCATCAAACAGTATCTTGCGAGCGATATATAAAATGAAGACAAGTCTCCAAATACAGAAGAGAAAGAGGACAGGAGCAAACAGGAGGTAAAATGAGAGCAGTTAGCTATGGATGCAAAGGACTCTGCTTTAGGTCGGAGCAATAAAGCTCTTGGTAGAGATAGAGATAGATAGGAGACGCAGTGATGGATGCCTGATTGACAATACCGCCAATTATTAGTTGTGCTAACAAGGCTAGCTGCCAGCGCTATCAGTCCCCTTGTCACCGCCGCTGATCTATTGGTGAGGGGTAGGGTCTGCTCTGCTCTGCTCTCCTCTGTGTCTATGAACACTACGTCTGCTGTCTACTGGCCCTAATAGCTATAGCTGCGCTCTGGCCTATACCGGTGGCAGGAATTGGTACCATC